AAAAAATACGGTATGTTTGTTTCCACTTGGGGACCGCTTCTGAACTTCGTGCTTGAAGTGGAAAGGAATGAAACTTTGATTTTGGGGTTTTACCGAGTAGATTGATAGATCTTTACAGAAATGGCTGGTTCATATTATTACGAAAAAGCAAAAAGTTGTGATTTGATTTCTTTTACTGCCAACGGAGAGAGTCGGAAGTCAATGTTTCTTTTTCTTTTCTTTTTTCTTTACCCTTCCTTGCTTCTCTTCCCCCTTTCCCTCCCCACCGTTTTCCTATTGACTTTCGTATTTTACAATATTTTATAACTCAAATAAATAAAAATATTAAACTTTGAGGTTACAGAATCCGAGAAAGATTAGGAGGAAGGCAGAGTTGTGCAACGGCCCTTGATTCATGTTCTTAATACGGGAATAAAATTCACGAACAAAAGGAACAAAAATTGCCCAGTGATCTGTGAAAGTTACATCCGTACCAAAGAGCCTTGATAGTACAGTGGTTTAGTGCACCCTGTTATTAACACAGCTGCCTGCAATTTCTGCTGGTTCGAATCTCTCCAAGGCTCAAGGTTGACTCAGCCTTCCATCCTTTCTAAGGTAGGTGAAATGAGGACCCAGTTTGTGGGGGCAATAAGCTGACTTTGTATAAAATATACAAAAGTATGAAGGCTATTGCTTAACGCACTGTAAGCCGCCCTGAGTCTCCGGAGAAGGGCGGCATATAAATCAAATTAAAAAAAAAAAATTCGATCTTATCTAACACAGAAAACTAATGTAAAAACTAAACATTTTACTCGTCAAGAATCATTTATCCCAGCATTCCTCCTCCTGTCAAGCCAGCAATAAAATTTGTTCCATTTGTAAAAAAAATTGTAACTTTCGCAAATGTAAGAATCTATATGTTTGAAATGTGATAAATAGTATAAACTTGTATAGAGATAAGGAATTGTATTAATTATAAGGTAAAACGTGGTGAAAATGTTTAAACTGGAGACGTCACACCATGTCCAATGTTTTTAATTTGTATTACTAATAAAAAACTTTTTACCAAAATTTCTCATTGCACCAGGGAAGATGATGTTCCAATTAGCCATCTACTGGTCACAACAATTTAAAAAAACCTTTCCCTCCGCCCCTATGCTAGCAATTAAAAAAAAATTAATTCCACAAGGATTGTGTTGCAAATCTTATGGCCCTATTGCTAGGTGATGCTTCAATGGATTAAGAGGGGTTGTGTGTTGTGCAAACCCCCCCCCCGAAACCCAATTAATTAGTCCAGACCATGGACCCTGAGTGGGGGTGAGCTTGAGCCCCCCCAAGAGTCACAATAATTGGCCAACAGGATGGTCACCACCAGTTTCTCCAGCAGGACAATCCGTCAAGGGAAAGGGATCTGCCATTGTCCTGTGGGCACCAGAGAAAATATATTTAGCGGTTCCAGAGGGTTGCGGACAGGGGTGAAATGCTCCCAGTTCGGACCGGATCGCCCGATCCGGTAGCGATGGAGGCAGGTGGTTCGGAGAACTGGTAGCAAAAATCCCTGCCCCTCCCCCCCCACCGTGCACAGCTGAGCCGCACAATCATCAGAGGCTTTTTTTTTAACTTTTAAAAGCATTTTTTTCTACAACCTCTTCGGCCGAAAAAATGCTTTTAAAAGTAAAAAAACAAAACAAAACCCTCTGATGATCGCACGGCTCAGCTGGGATCGTCAAAGGCTTTTAAAAGAAAAAAAAGCCTCTGGCAATCAGGCAACTCAGCTTGGATCGTCAGAGGCATTTAAAAGAAAAAAAACCCTTTTTTTCTTTTAAAAGCCTCTGACGATCCAAGCTGAGTTGCCTGATTGCCAGAGGCTTTTTTTTCTTTTAAAAGCCTCTGACGATACAAGCTGAGTTGCCTGATTGCCAGAGGTTTTTTTTCTTTTAAAAGCCTCTGACGATCCAAGCTGAGTTGCCTGATTGCCAGAGGTTTTTTTTTCTTTTAAAAGCCTCTGACGATCCAAGCTGAGTTGCCTGATTGCCAGAGGTTTTTTTTTCTTTTAAAAGCCTCTGACGATCCAAGCTGAGTTGCCTGATTGCCAGAGGTTTTTTTTTCTTTTAAAAGCCTCTGACGATCCAAGCTGAGTTGCCTGATTGCCAGAGGTTTTTTTTTTCTTTTAAAAGCCTCTGACGATCCAAGCTGAGTTGCCTGATTGCCAGAGGCTTTTTTTCTTTTAAAAGCCTCTGACGATCCAAGCTGAGTTGCCTGATTGCCAGAGGTTTTTTTTTCTTTTAAAAGCCTCTGACGATCCAAGCTGAGTTGCCTGATTGCCAGAGGTTTTTTTTTTCTTTTAAAAGCCTCTGACGATCCAAGCTGAGTTGCCTGATTGCCAGAGGCTTTTTTTCTTTTAAAAGCCTCTGACGATCCAAGCTGAGTTGCCTGATTGCCAGAGGTTTTTTTTTTCTTTTAAAAGCCTCTGACGATCCAAGCTGAGTTGCCTGATTGCCAGAGGTTTTTTTTTTCTTTTAAAAGCCTCTGACGATCCAAGCTGAGTTGCCTGATTGCCAGAGGTTTTTTTTTCTTTTAAAAGCCTCTGACGATCCAAGCTGAGTTGCCTGATTGCCAGAGGTTTTTTTTTTCTTTTAAAAGCCTCTGACGATCCAAGCTGAGTTGCCTGATTGCCAGAGGCTTTTTTTCTTTTAAAAGCCTCTGACGATCCAAGCTGAGTTGCCTGATTGCCAGAGGCTTTTTTTCTTTTAAAAGCCTCTGACGATCCAAGCTGAGTTGCCTGATCATCAGAGGCATTGAAAAGAGAAAAAAGCCTCTGCTGATCAGGCAACTCAGCTGGGATCGTCAGAGCCTTTTGAAAGCATTTTTTTATAACCTCTTCGCCGAAGAGATTGTAGAAAAAATGGTTTTAAAAGTAAAAAAAAAAAAAAAATTGACCATGCCCACCCAGTCACATTAATCCCCACCACCAAGCCACACCCACAGAACCGGTAGCAATAAATTTTAGATTTCACCATTGCGGAATATGTTAATATTAAGCTGGGAGGAAAAGGCTGGGCCTGATGATTTGGGATCAAGGCTGTTCCTTATTTATTTATTTATTTATTTGTTTGTTTGTTTGTTTGTTTGTTTGTTTGTTTGTTTGTTTGTTTATTTATTTATTTTTATACTGCCCCCTCTCCTGAAGGACTCAGGGCGGTGAACAGCCAAGATTAAAAAACATACAATATAAACGTTAAAATACATTTAAAACAAAATTAAATCCCTAATGGCTTTCCCCAATTTAAAACCCCTTACCCATAAAATTCACCAATAAAAATTTTTAAGCCAGCCCGGTTTGCCAAAATAGGAACGTTTTCAGAGCCTGGCAAAAGGTTCGGAGGTCCGGGATCCTTGAGTTACTGTGGCCGTCACGTTCCATGTTTGTCCTTGGGAAGCTTCTGTTATCCATATATCTGTATTTTTTGGACTATAAGAGGCACCAAAATTTAGAAGAGGAAAACAACAACAAAAAGTTTTTGGCCTCCAAGCGCGTCCCATTTTCGGCCCTTTTTTCCAGCCTTTTTCTGGCCGGTTTTCGGGGCTTTTTACGGCCCATTTTCGAGGCTTTTTTTGGCCTGTTTCGAGGCTTTTTTTTTTTTTTGGCTTGTTTCGAGGCTTTTTTTTTTTTGGGCCTGTTTCGAGGCTTTTTTTTTTTTTGGCCTGTTTTGAAGCTTTTTTTTTTTGGCCTGTTTCGAGGCTTTTTTTGGCCTGTTTCGAGGCTCTTTTTTTTGGCCTGTTTCGAGGCTTTTTTGGCCCATTTTTGAGGCTTTTCTCGGTCTGTTTTTGAGGCTTTTTTTGGCCCTTTTTGGGGGCTTTTTTTCACCCATTCTTGGGGCTTTTTTTTAGACCCTTTTCCAGCCTTTTACCGGCTCAAAATAATCCTATTCCACTGCTGGAATGGCCTGGGAATAGCCCAGACCTTCACCCAATTGAAAATCGATGGATTTTCCCACTAAAGAAACTGGTTAGTCAGAAGCAACTCAGCCATAAAACCCAGTTAATAGAAGCAACCGATCAATCTTGGTTTCACATTAAAACAGCTGCAGAACTCAAAGACTTGGTTCACTCCATGGGAAGACGTTGTAAGGCCGTCATTCATGCTAAAGTTTACCCAACGAAGTATTCACTGACATGGGGATCATTTTTGTATATCTCGTTTTTTCTATGGGGATCATTTTTGTATATATCTCATTTTTTTCTACGTTTTTTTTCCCTTTATACTGTAACTGCTATTCTAAACAGCAAATCCTTCCTAAAAGTTATTGCATTACATTCTTGATTCAATGATCTTTCCATCGATATATAATTTGATGGTACTACTCTGGGGAAAAAAAAGTGGCGTTATTAGCTAGTTTTAGAAAATACAACTTTCCCCAAAAGGTTTCCACAATTTTTGGCCACTACGGGAGAAAATATTTCCTCTGTGACACTGGAGGCAAGGAAGGTTACGTCTCCACCTGGGTGGGAGACGAGAAAATGGAGTTGTTTTGTCTCGCCTTGCCAAGCAAAATTGAATCCAGAGTATGATTGGGTGTAACAAGCCAGGATCGCTCTCTGATTTATGGCTGTAGAAGCCTTTGAACTTGAGGTGCTTGGAGGAATTTTCAACCTGTTCCTTTCGCGTCTTTTAAGCCGAGTTGCTCTTCCAGCCACTAAACCTTTGGGGCTGGTTTATTTTTAATTTTGTGTGTGTGTGTGTGTGTGTGTGTGTGTGTGTGTGTGAGGGCTGTGTGGGCCATTTCAGTAGGGGTTTCCCTTCCTTTGTTTAACCTCTGACCCGTGAAAGCAGCAGTTAATCAAAAGCTCTGGAGGAGCCAAGAGGAAGTGGAAGTGCTTGGTTACCAATGAAATATGAGAAAAACATGCCCCGTCAATCCCCAAGTGGGCTACCAGTTTCTCGGTCCATCAGCTCCAGGCAGAGAAGGGGGGGTGGGGGGTGGGAGGCTGCTGCCTCCTGCCCCTCCTTGTGTTTTGAAAAGGAGACTCACAAATAAATACGGAGAAGGCAGAGGTTGCCGAGATAAATTTTCCTCTCTCTGTTCTCCTTGCTTCTGCTCAGCTGGGAGAAGTGAAATAGAAGAAGAGGAAGGAGGGAAGGAGGGAGGGAGGCAAAGAGGGGAAGGAAGGAAAAGGGAATGGATGGAAGGCAGGAAGGCAAAGAAGGGAGGGAAGGAAGGAAGGAAGGAAGGAAGGTGCAGAGGGGAAGGAAGGAAGGAAAAGGATGGATAGATGGATGGAAGGAATGCAAAGAAGGGATGGAAGGAGGGAAGGAAGGAAGGTGCAGAGGAGAAAGAAGGAAGGAAAAGAATGGATGGAGGATGGAAGGAAGGCAAAGAAGGGAGGGAAGGAAGGAAGGTGCAGAGGGGAAGAAAGGATGGAAAAGGATGGATGGATGGAAGGAATGCAAAGAAGGGATAGAAGGAGGGAAGGAAGGTAGGAAGGAAAGCAAAGAGGGAAAGGAAAGGAGGAAGGCAGGCAGGCAGAAGGGAAGGAAAGAAGGAAGGCAAAGAGGGAAAGGAAGGAAAAAGATGGATGGAAGGAAGGAACGCAAAGAAGGGATGAAAGGAAGGAGGGAAGGAAGGCAAAGGGGGAGGAAGGCAAAGAGGGAAAGGAAGGCAAAGAAGGGATGGAAGGAAGAAGGGAAGGAAGGTGCAGAGGGGAAGGAAGGAAGGAAAAGGATGGATGGATGGAAGGAATGCAAAGAAGGGATAGAAGGAGGGAAGGAAGGTAGGAAGGAAGGCAAAGAGGGAAAGGAAAGGAGGAAGGCAGGCAGGCAGAAGGGAAAGAAAAAAGGAAGGCAAAGAGGGAAAGGAAGGAAAAAGATGGATGGATGGAAGGAAGGAAGGCAAGAATGCAAAGAAGGGAGGGAAGGAAGGAGGGAAGGAAGGCAAAGAGGGAAAGGAAGGAAAAGGATGGATGGAAGGAAGGAACACAAAGAAGGGATGAAAGGAAGGAGGGAGGAAGGCAGGCAGGCAGAGGGGATGGAAGGAAGGAAGGCAACGAGGGAAAGGAAGGAAAAGGATGGATGGAAAGAAGGAAGGAATGCAAAGAAGGGATGGAAGGAAGGAGGGAAGGTAGGTAGGAAGGAAGGCAAAGGGGAAGGAAGGGAGGAAGGAAGGAAGGCAAAGGGGAAGGAAGGGAGGGAAGCAAAGAGGAAAAGAATGGAAGGAAGGCAAATGTTCCTCGAAGCCCCCAATTTGGCACCGGCCTCTTTGGTGAGTTCCAAGCGAGCCCAGAGAGAAGCCAGCCCGAAGTCCCCTTCTTCCCCCCTCCCCTTTTCCCTGTGGGATTTTCCTCGAGTCTTGCAGTGGGCTCGAGTCTGCCCCTATACCTGTCGAAGAGTGAACACCTGCCAAGGGTTTTTCCCTCCCCCACCCCAGGTGAAAAGACAACGCAGGGCCCTGGAGAGCCCTCCGGCAGTTGTCGGCGCCGATCGGAACGGGGAAAATCGGTCCGTGGTTGCTTAGCAAAAAGAGCCCAGATCCCTACGCGGAATCTGGTTTTGACACTTTTTAAGCCTTAGAGAAAAACCAGCCATCGTGCCACCTCTTCGGTTCCTGTCGGTTAATAAAGATTAGGTTGATTCTGTAGCTGAGGGATATTTTCTCCCCTCAGGTCAGGGGTGAAATGCTACCGGTTCGCACCGGTTTGGGCGAATCGGTAGTAAAAAAAAAAAAGCTACTGGATCCAGTGGTGAGTTTCAAATTTTTTTACTACCGGTTCTGTGGGCATGGCTTGGTGGGCGTGGCAGGGGAAGGATACAGTAAAATCTCCATTCCGTCCCCAATCCAGGGGAAAGTTCATTTCATTTTCATTCGTTTCATTTATTATTAAATAAATGTATATTTATTTAATAATAAATAAATAAACAGTGAAGTTACTGCAGAAGAATAATAATAAATAAACAGTGAGGTTAGTGCAGAAGAATAATAATAAATAAACAGTGAAGTTACTGCAAAATCCCCATTTCCTCCTGATCAGCTGGGACTCGGGAGGCAGAGAATAGACGGGGGTGGGGCCAGTCAGAATTTTTACTACCGGTTCTCCGAACGACTCAAAATTTCCGCTACCGGTTCTCCAGAACCTGCTGAAACCCACCTCTGATCAGATCGCCCGACCCAGTATTTCCAACAATCAGCTGTGCCGCGCGATTTATATTCGCAGGAAATCCGGCTTACTAGCAAATCTAAATTGCGCGGCACAACTGTTCTCCCCCTCGCTGTTCTACTTATCTTGTTAAGCCTTCTTTTTCCGTGCGCGATGCGTGCATTTGGCGCACGCATGCAGTGTGTGTTTGGTGTGCACTGTGCACGCAGCGTGCTTTTGCCGCTGGCAATCTGCGGAAGATTTCACCGCTGCCTCAGGTGTGGCTTCCAGACAACAAAAAAGCCAAGCTCGGTATATTCTGATTTTCATGTGGTGCTAGGAACCCTGCTAAGAATGGGCTGCAGTGTTCTTCATATGTTTTCCTAGAGTACCAATCAGCACCTGTCAGGAGATCAGAAGTCTTCATCCACCACCACTATTTTCTGGTTTTATCTCGGGGGATTTAGGACAGGGTTCTCCAACCTTGGCAACTTTAAGACTTGTGGACCTTGAAGTCCACAAGTCTTAAAGTTGCCAAGGTTGGAGACCCTTGATCTAGGGCAGGGGTCAGCAACCTGTGGCTCTGGAGCCGTATGTGGCTCTTTCACTCCTCTGCTGCGGCTCCCTGTCACTCAAAATATGTGTCACAACCGCCAATGTGCAACACCCTCCAGCACGCGATTTATTGAGTTTATCAACCCCCTGGTAGGCCAACCATGGATAAATCCAAGAAAAGAAACATTTCAGAAGAAAACAAAACGTTTAATTCAACTACAGATGCTAGTTTTGTGGCCGCTCAAGAAATAGTCAGGCACGGGGAGGGTTTTTGTGGCTCCTGGTGTTTTCTTTTCTGTGGGAAACGGGTCCAAATGGCTCTTTGAGTGTTTAAGGTTGCAGACCCCTGATTTAGGGCATGCAAGGAGTGGCAAGATGATGACATCTCAACAAGCGTCCTTCTCCTTTTTGTACACATTTTGCAGAAGTTTTTTCCTTCATAACATTAATGTGCAAACACATGCTTTTCTTTTCTTTCTTTTTTTAGTTATCTCCCGTGGTTTGAAGTCTTTTATAAACTGCTGAATATTCTGGCAGACTACACAGTGAAGGGCCAGGTAAATATCTGGGTCGCACACTTCCGTGTGACTTGATGTGCGTTTTGTGCGTTTGTGTATTTGTGTAGTTTGTGTGTGTATTTGAGAGAGACCCAGTGTGTTTATGTCTTTAAAACTTTATACCATTTGCCAGATCCATCTTTGATTCAGCTATGGAAGACAATTCTATCACTAGAACAAGTTTTGATAAAGTAAAAAAAAAAAATCCAATTTTTAAAGACAGGTAGAAAATATTTCCATGGAATTATTTCCCTATTTCCCAATAAAGCCAAGTAATATTGGATTCTGTTTGTGGTTATTTTAATATCCCCTGTTCAATGATAGAGGTGATAATGATTCACAGGAATTTCAGATTAAAGGTAAAGTAACGGTTCCCCTGGCACATATGTGCTAGTCGTTCCCGACTCTAGGGGGCGGTGCTCATCTCCGTTTCAAAGCCAAAGAGCCAGCGCTGTCCGAAGACGTCTCCGTGGTCATGTGGCCGGCATGACTCAACGCCAAAGGCGCACGGAACGCTGTTCCCTTCCCACCAAAGGTGGTCCCTATTTTTCTACTTGCATTTTTTTTATAAAAAAAGTTTTTATTTTATAAACAAACAAACAAACAGTACATAATCATTCAGTATATCATCTAAGTACATCCTTTGTGTCTTCTTCTTACTCCTCCAATATTTATCATATCTTAATATTATCATTTTATTTATTATAACATTTCCCCCACATTTCTTACTTCTCTATTAATATACTTATCTATCTTTTTATTTTATTAAAAATTTTACAACAATTTTATCCCCACACAACCTTCAACCCCCCCTCCCCACACACCCCCGATTTCCCAGAGCAAAAACAGGGTATAACATTTAACAAACCTAAGCTAATATATACTAACTTACTACAAGATTCAAAACTTCCTCACGTTCTTTAACTCCCCTTTTAAAAGTTATTCATCAACCTTCCTTTTATAAATTCTCTTATCACATTTCACATTTGTTACTAAAATCCTTTCCATACCTTCTTTTTCAGCATTACTTAGTAAAATTCTAAGTTAAACATTTGTCCTCTTTGGTCATTCATAAACCACTTGCCAATTTCTGATTGTAATAAAACATTCTTCAGAATATAACCTTAGAGATACTGTTAATCCATTGGGTTAAGTTATTTCTAAATCTTAAATTCATTCTTCAAGATATAAGTTTCAAAACTTTCAGGAAGCTACCCATTAAATTTTGATACCTCGATAACTTTTAAAAAGCTCTCCATTTTTAGTTAAACATTTTTGCTTCAATAAAACAGTCTTCAAAATATAACCCTCAAAAGGCTATCCCTTAAATGCATTTTACTTGCATTTTTTTTAACGTTAATGTCAGGTTTCGGTGCTATCTTAAACTTCATTCTCAAATGCAAATCTCTAATGAATCTTTTCTTTATTTAAGAATAGAAATAACGTCATCCCTGAATTCTTGTGCAGCCAAAACTGGCACCTCCTTCCAAACTCCTCCCTTTCCATTCTTCAACCCCAATGTCTCATTGGCCATCATGCAGATCCATCTCTCCATCCCAAGCACTTTCTATTCACAGGAATTCCCCCCTCCCTCTATCACCCAGGTAACGCTATCTACTAAAGAGCAGGAAACTAGGTAAAAGTTCATCTCAGCATTAAAGCAAAGCTTCTCCCTCTCTCATTCATGTCAGCGCTGGAGGAGATCATAATTTGGAACGCTGACAGTTAAGACGCTGAGCTTGTCGATCGAAAGGTCAGCAGTTCAGCAGTTCGAATCCTGAGTGCTGCATAACGGGGTGAGCTCCCGTGACTTGTCCCAGCTTCTGCCAACCTAGCAGTTCGAAAGCACGTAAAAAAAATGCAAGTAGAAAAATCGGGACCACCTTTGGTGGGAAGGGAACAGCGTTCTGAGTGCCTTTGGCATTGAGTCACGCCAGCAACATGACCACAGAGATGTCTTCGGACAGCGCCGGCTCTTCGGCTTTGAAACGGAGATGAGCATCGCCCCCTAGAGTTGGGAACGACTATACATATATGCAAGGGAAACCTTTACCTTTAACAAGAGAGAGAAGGAGACAGATATTCCCCTTCCAAGGAGCACAACTCACTGAGACCCCCTCATTTCTTCTTCTTTTTTTCAGGACAGCCAAAGATGTGAACTTTTGCAGACGCTTTATAAACTACCGATTCCCGAGCCAGCTTCTTCGATTCATCTCAGCGTGGTGAGCATTCCTAAAACGGGGAAAAAAATCTGGAGGTTTTCGTTTGGAGAAGGGTGCAGCTCTTCAGTTCCTTGTCTTGGGGGCATCACGGGAGTCCCAAGGAGCAGAAGTGACATTTCCCCCATACTTAACTGCCACAACTGGCTTGGCGTATGCCAAGAGGGATCTGTCCAGGATCTCCATTATTTAAAACAACACTAAGCCAACACTTGCCTGAAAAGGTTTGGGCTGGTAACAAATCCATATCTTGTATACAGCAGTGGCCAAAATTGTGGAAACCTTTTGGGAAAAGTTGTATTTTCTAAAACTAGCTAATAACACCACTTTTTTTTTGGAGTAGTACCATCAAATTATATATCAATGGAAAGATAATTGAATCAAGAACGTAATGCAATAACTTTTAGGAAGGATTTGCTATTAGAATAACAGTTACAGTATAAAGAAGAAAAGTGAAACACGTAGAAAAAAAGGAGATATACAAAAATGATCACCGTAGAAAAAAGGAGATATACAAAAATGATCACCATGTCAGATAATACTTAGTTGGGTAACATTTATTTATTTATTTATTTATTTATTTATTTATTTATTTATTTATTTATTTATTCATTCATTCATTCATTCATTCATTCATTCATTCATTCATTCATTCATTTATTGGTTCAATTTATATGCCACCCCTTCTCCGGAGACTCAGGGCGGCTTACAATGCGTTAAGCAATCGCCTTCATACTTTTGTATATACCTGCTTAGTAGGGCTTTCGGTCCCCCCCAAGCGGTGTTCTTTTTTATACAAAGTCAGCTTATTGCCCCCACAAACCGGGTCCTCATTTTACCTACCTCGAAAGGATGGAAGCCTGAGTCAACCTTGAGCCTGGTGAGAATTGAACTCGCAGTAATTGCAGGCAGCTGGTGCTACTTAACAGCACTTTAGTCTGCTGCGCCACCAAGGCTCTTTAGCACGAATGATGGCCTTACAACGTCTTCCCATGGAGCGAACCAAGTCTTTTAGTTCTGCGGCTGTTATGATGTGAAACCAAGATTGCATGATGGCTTCTATTAACTGGGTTTTATGGCCGGGTCGCTTCTGACTAACCAGTTTGTTTAGTCGGCTGCTCCATAGATTTTCCATTGGGTTAAGATCTGGGCTCTTCCCAGGCCATTCCAGCAGTGGAACAGGATTATCTTGAAACTCCAAAAAAGAAGTGGTGTTATTAGCCATCAAACTTCAAAAATGCATTTTCCCCAAAAGGTTTCCACAATTTTGGCCACTACTGTAATTGAGTATGGCTAGTCTAGAGAAGAGAAAGAATAGAGGGGACATGATAGTAGCATTCCGGTATTTGAGAGGCTCCTAAAGAGAAGAGGGAGGTCAATTTATTTTCCAAAGCACCAGAAGGAACGCAAGAAACAATAGCTGGAAACTAATCAAGGAGAGTCTATGTAGATTCTCAGCCCTCCAGGACATGGTTGTCCCAAAAGTGCTTTCTGGACTTTCTGGTTTTTCTTTGAAGACGTTTCGCTTCTCATCCAAGAAGCTTCTGAAGAAGAGCTGAAGAAGATGAGAAGCGAAACGTCTTCAAAGAAAAAACAGAAAGTCCAATTGCCTCTTGAAAAAAAAAACACTTTTGGGATCATCAAGGAGAGAAGCAACCTGGAATTAAGGAGAAACTTCCTAGTGGTGAGACAAATTAACCGGTGGAACAGCTCGCCACCAGAAGTTGTATGCGCTCCATCACTGGAGGTTCCTAAGAAGAGACTGGACAGCCACTTGTCTGAAATGGTCTAAGTTCTCCTGCTTGATCAGGGGGTTGGACTAGAAGACCTCCAAGGTCCCTTCCACCTCTATTCTAAATCAGAGGATAATCTATATTAATCCTTCCATTCCCCACCATCCAGTCAGAGCTGAAGAAGCATCTTGGATGAGAAGCAAAACATCTTCCAAGAAAAACCAGAAAGTCCAGTTGGATTAGGAGAACTTCAAGGGCCCTTCCAGCTCTATTCTAATTATTAATTAATTTATTATTTATTTACTAATTCAATTTGTATGCCGCCCCTCTCCGAAGACTCAGGGCGACTCACAATGCATTTAATGAATTGTCTGTCGCTGTATTTTGGATTGTCGAGTTGTGATCCATTGTGTTTGTGGCATCAGTGGTATATGTTGGAGTTCTTTTTTTTCCAAGGAGTAGATCAAGGCTCCTCAACCCTGGCAATGTATGGACATTGACAGGGTGTGCATTCTGGGACTTGATGTCCTCGCATAATCAAGTTATCAAGTTTGAGAATCGGTACAGTAGGGTGTAAATATGTCAAAATAAATGGAAATTTGAGGTGCATTTTCTCTCTCTCTCTCTCTCTCTCCGCCTTTCTCCTTCAGCATTCTTACTTTACGGTGCCCGACACCAGGGAACTTCCCAGCATCCCCGAAAATGTAAGTCTCTGCTGTGAGTGTGTCACTCTTCGTAAACAATGCAACCCTATATGGGATTCCAGAAATCATACATTAGGAATAAGGGAGGGGGGAAAAATGTCGGGAGAAATCAAGATTTATGGAAGTGCTTGGAGATCAGAATTGGAGGCTTGCCTGTCCAGTTTTAGTTTGGATCTCAAATAAGCATATGCAAGAGTTTGGGACGCGGTGGCTCAGTGGCTAAGACACTGAGCTTGTCGACCGAAAGGTCGGCAGTTCAGCGGTTCGAATCCCTAGCGCCGCGGAATGGGGTGAGCTCCCGTGACTTGTCCCAGCTTCTGTTCGAAAGCAGGTAAAAAAATGCAAGTAGAAAAAATAGGGACCACCTTTGGTGGGAAGGTAACAGCGTTCTGTGCGCCTTTGGCATTGAGTCATGACCACGGAGATGTCTTTGGACAGTGCTGGCTCTTTGGCTTTGAAACGGAGATGAGCACCGCCCCCTAGAGTCAGGAACGGCTAGCACAGATTTGTGCGAGGGGAACCTTTACCTTTGCCTTTAAGAGTTTGGGACAGCTAATTGGGTAGGGTCTCCTGTTTCAGCAGGGGGTTGGACTAGAAGACCTCTAAGGTCCCTTCCGGTTGCTCTTTTGGTTGATTGAATTTAGCATCTGGGTAGCACGAAGATTGCCTTTTTTTTTTTAAGAGTGAGAGAAGCCTGCCAAGTTATCTCTGCTTGTTGCAGCCGTACCACGGTGGCAGGAAGTGGCCACTACTTCTAAACAGTTTCTGTTTAGACACAAACATCTCGCTAATCAGCACAGATGGAGTAGGAACCACAGGGAGGGAGGGACTGCATGCCAGTTGAACAGGTTTATTTTAAAACAAAAGTCTACGTTATTCTCCTAGCCCCTTCTACTGGATGGTTCTTCCTCTTAGCTGCCCACCAAGCCTTGACTGAAACCAAGAAGGAGCTATGGAGGGTGTTAGACGCTGTCCATGGTCCTCACCCTGGCACACTCAAGTTCTTAAATAAATGTTTATTGTTTTTAATTAATGGGGCCAAATTTATATATGTATATTTTAACTGTATTTTAATATTTGTATTTGATGTTTTTACTTGGCTGTTCACCGCCCTAAGTCCTCAGGGAGAAGGGCGGTATACAAATTCAAAATAAAATAAAATAAAAAATAAAATAAAAATCACTCTGTCTGCCTTGTGGAAGAGAGTGTGTTTTTATGAGCCGAAAAGTCCTGCAGAATCCTCAAAGGAAGGTCATAAAATATGGATCCTTGAATTAAGAATTAGACAGGGTTGAATTAAGGTTAGACAGGTCATTTTCCACGTTGCAAGGTCTTTAGTCCATTATTTAGGCCAGTCCAGAGAAAAAACTGGACTAGGGGTGATGTGATATCAGTATTCCAGTATTTGAGGGACTGCCAAAAAGAACTTATTTTCCAAAGGCAAGAAGCAACGGACGGAAACTAAACAAAGAGAGAGGCAACCTGGAATTAAGGAGAAACTTCCTAACAGTGAGGACAATTAACCAGTGGAACAGCTTGCCACCAGAAGTTGTGGGTGCTCCCAACACTGGATGCTTTTAACAAGGGACCGGACCACCGTTTGTCGAAAATGGTGTAGGTTCTCCTGCTTGAGTAGAGGGTTGGACTAGAAGACCTCCGAGGTCCCTTCCAACTCTGGTTATTCTGGTCTTGGTGTGGTGAGGAAACGTCACAAATTGTGAGAAGGTTAAGGCTGCATATCAAACCGAGATGATGTCAGGTTTCGATGTCATCTCAAATAAATTGCACTCCCAAACAATTAATCTTTGCTGAAATATTCCATTTATTGAGTACGACAGATCTGGCCCCGACTTCGTCGTAGCCGATACTAACCCTCTGACCCCCAAACCCTTCCCTTTCCATTCCCCAATTCTCATCTTCTCATTGGCCATCTTCCAAGTTAGTCGCCCTAGCTTCTGACCTCAACCCACAGGAATGTCCCCCCCTCCCATCCCATCTCCTAGGGGATATTATCTACAGAGAAAATAAGTAGGTGAAAAGTCAAGCCTCGTCTTCTCCTTTTTATGGCAGCATCAGAATGCTGACAGATGAGACATGAGATGAGTTTTTTTAGGAAAGACACGACAGTCACTTGTCTGAAATGGTATAGGGTCTCCTGCTTGAGGGGGTTGGACTAGAAGACCTCCAAAGTCCCTTCCAGCTCTATTCTGATTATTACTATATTAAGGAGAAAATTCTAACAGCTGTTTCTCCACAACTTCTGGAGAAACAGAAATTTCTCCAGAAGTTGTGGATGTTCCCTCACCGGAGGTTTTTAAGAAAAGACTGGACAACGATTTGTCCGGAATAATCTAGAGCACTGAGGGCTAACCTTTCTGCCATCGCGTACCAAAAGTGAGGGGAGTGTGCCCACACCCATAATTCTATGCGTCCCGTCCCCTGGTGCATGCGCGTGACCCCTCCCCCCCGTTCCCCCCGCTTTTGGCCCGGTGGGCCCGGTAGGCTTGTTTTTCGCCCTCCCCAGGCTCCAGAGCCTTTCTAGGAGCCTGGGGAGGGCGAAAATGGCCTTCCCCACACACACCCCGGAGGCATTCCAGAGGCCAGAAACAGCCTGTTTCCCAAGTTCCGGTGGGCCCAGAAGGCCTGAAAATCAGCTGGCTGGGACGCACATGCACGCCGGAGCTGAGCTTGCGTGCCCAGCAATATGGCTCTGTGTGCCACCTGTGGCGCGTGTGCCATAGGTTCGCCATCACGGATCTAGGTTCTCCTGCTTGAGCAGAGGTCTTGACTAGAAGGCTCCAAGCTCTGTTTTGAATGGATTGATTAAGGTTTGTCTCCTGCCGTAGATGCTAGCTTGAGAGTAACTACTGTGGAGTTGGCTGGAAGACAATTTCCTAAACCTCCTTCGCTTCTTTTCCTTCCTAGAGAAATCTGACCGAGTATTTTGTAGCCGTGGACGTCAACAACATGTTGCATTTGTACGCCAGCATGCTCTACGAACGCCGCATTCTCATCTGCTGCAGTAAATTGAGCACGGTAAGTTGGAAAAGTAATGAAAAGTAATTTAGGCTTAACTTTCCTTTCAGTCTGAGTTTCTGGTGGAGGTGGTAGCAGTGGTGCCTAATGGGCGAATCCAATCTTGTTAGAAGTTTGATCAGCCCTGCCTCCTGGAGCCACAACCCTTATGGACTAACCGAGGATGAATCTGGTGGATTCTTACACGGCGGGGGTGAAATTCAGCTGGTTCCTAACGGATTGCGCGATACGGTAGTGAAGCTCCGCCCACCCACGCGGACGTCATGACGGCCCTTTTTTTGCGCCGTTCTTCAGCCTCTGCGCATGTGCAGAAGGCTTTATACATGTGCGTACAACGGTGCGTACGAACGAAGCATGCACAAACCAGTAGGGAAGGTACCGTATTTTTCGGAGTATAAGACGCACCGGAGTATAAGACGCACCTTAGTTTTTGGGGAGGAAAATAAGAAAAAAAGCTGATTGGCAGGTGGATCGGCCTCCCGGAATACCCCCAATCAGCTGTTCTCAGAGGTGAATTTTAGCAACAGGTTCCTTGGTTGTAAGCTCTGTGCCTTGCTTTTTTTTTTGCTTTTTTTTCTACTTCTGAAAGCCTCCGAAACAGAGCTTCAGAAAAAAAAAGCCTCTGAAGGTCTGTTTGGGGGCTTCTTTTCTGAAGCTCTGTTTGGGGGCTTCTTTTCTGAAGCTCTGTTTGGGGGCTTCTTTTCTGAAGCTCTGTTTGGGGGCTTCTTTTCTGAAGCTCTGTTTTGGGGCTTCTTTTCTGAAGCTCTGTTTGGGAGCTTCTTTTCTGAAGCTCTGTTTGGGGGCTTCTTTTCTGAAGCTCTGTATGGAGGCTTTTTTCTGAAGCTCATTTTGGAGGCTTTTTTCTGAAGCTCTGTTTGGGGGCTTTTTTTGAAGCTCTGTTTGAGGGTTTCTTTTCTGAAGCTCTGTTTGGGGGCTTCTTTTCTGAAGCTCTGTTTGGGGGCTTCTTTTCTGAAGCTCATTTTGGAGGCTTTTTTCTGATGCTCTGTTTGGGGGCTTTTTTCTGAAGCTCTGTTTGGGGGCTTCTTTTCTGAAGCTCTGTTTGGGGGCTTCTTTTCTGAAGCTCATTTTGGAGGCTTTTTTCTGAAGCTCAGTTTGGAGGCTTTTTTCTAAAGCTCTGTTTGGGGGCTTTTTTACTGAAGCTCTGTTTGGGGGCTTCTTTTCTGAAGCTCTGTTTGGGGGCTTCTTTTCTGAAGCTCTGTTTGGAGGCTTTTTTCTGAAGCTCATTTTGGAGGCTTTTTTCTGAAGCTCATTTTGGGGGCTTTTTTTCTGAAGTTCTATTTGGGGGCTTTTTTTCTGAAGCTCTGTTTTGGGGGCTTTTTTCTGAAGCTCTGTTTTGGGGGCTTTTTTCTGAAGCTCTGTTTGGGGGCTTCTTTTCTGAAGCTCATTTTGGAGGCTTTTTTCTGAAGCTCTGTTTGGGGGCTTCTTTTCTGAAGCTCTGTTTGGGGGCTTCTTTTCTGAAGCTTCGTTTCTGATACTTTTTTCAGCCTCTGAAACCTCTGTTTGAGAAGCTGGATGGAGCTACATTTGGAGTATAAGACGCACCCAGATTTTCACCCTCTTTTTGGGGGGAAAAAGGTGCGTCTTATATTCCGATAAATAAGCTAAGTGCATTTCACCCGTGTTACACGTGTACCAGGTGCAAGAAGTCAGGGACCAGGATTAGTAAGGCCACACCTGCAGCCTACGATAATAACATCTGCTCAGGGAAGCTTGAATTTTGACTCCTTTCTTTTGCATGAAAAGTGCAAACTTTTCTTTCTTGAGGTCGGTGCTTCGGAAAAACATTGACACAGTTGTTTTTGTACGCCCGCATGGAAGGATAGATTTGTTGTTTGCTTGTTGTCTGGAAGCAAAAAAAAAAAGAAGAAGAAGAAAAGGATGGATAAACGATGCTTTCAGATGGATCACCTCCTGACCTCTCGGCGAACTCAAATGGGGCACGATAAGAAACTCAGTTTTCCGCAATTTTCTTTGATAAGGATTCCGGATTAATGCTACTTAGAGTCCATCAAGGGCCTCAGAGATGAAAGCCACGGCTCACTTAAGCCCGTTCTCCTTGTATTACTAATATATATATGTATACATAAAGGACTTTGCTTTACTCTCCACAATGTTCCAGTTCAGTGTTTCGATCTATACTTTGTAAGGTTTTTAGCAGTAGCGATAGGTTGCTTCTTGGTTATTTGTCTTTTTTTTTAAAAAAAAGAAAATGTTAAGCTTTCCTAGCTGTTTGGCTCAGTAAATAGGTATTGATTGGGGATGGAGGCTGTTTGTTCATTTCATTTCATTTTGCTTTCCTGTGGATAAATGGCAAATTAATTTATTTTCCCCTCACTAATGCTGTTGACTTAGTCATATACTGTTGTCTGGATTTTGGAGAGACGCCGCATCCTGATTTTGAGAATAGAATAGAATAGAATAGAATAGAATAGAATAGAATAGAATAGAATAGAATAGAATAAGAAAAAATAAGAATAGAATAAGAAAAAATAAGAATAGAATAAGAAAAAACAAGACGAAGAATAGAATAGAATAAGAAAAAATAAGAATAGAATAAGAAAAAGTAAGAATAGAATAAGAAAAAATAATAAGAATAGAATAAGAAAAAATAAGAATAGAATAAGAAAAAGTAAAAATAGAATAAGAAAAAGTAAGAATAGAATAAGAAAAAATAAGAATAGAATAAAATAGAATAAGAATAGAATAGAATAAGAAAAAATAAGACTAAGACTAGAATAGAATAAGAAAAAATAATAAGAATAGAACAGAATAAGAAAAAATAAGAATAGAATAAGGAAAAATAAGAATAGAATAGAATAAGAAAAAATAAGACTAAGACTAGAATAGAATAAGAAAAAATAATAATAGAATAGAATAAGAACAAATAAGAATAGGATAAGAAAAAGTAAGAATAGAATAAGAAAAAGTAAGAATAAAATAAGAAAAAATAAGAATAGAATAAAATAGAATAAGAATAGAATAGAATAAGAAAAAATAATTAGAATAGAATAAGAAAAAATAAGAATAGAATAAGAAAAAATAAGAATAGAATAAAATAGAATAGAATAAGAATAAGACTAGAATAGAATAAGAAAAAATAAGAATAGAATAGAATAAGAAAAAATAAGACTAAGACTAGAATAGAATAAGAAAAAATAATAATTGAATAGAATAAGAACAAATAAGAATAGAATAAGAACAGAAGAGAATAACTAAAAATAAGAATAAGAATAGAATAGAATTAGAAAAAACAAGGAATAGAATAGAATAGTAATAACTTTATTGTCACTTTGAATGTACCCTATCTGTCATACGTTAAAATGAAATTTCATTGCATGCAGCTCTCAAAGGGTTACCACCACCAATATACGCTAAATGAACACGACAAAATAAATAAATAAATACAAAATTATGTATACACCCAATAGTATTAATTGCACTGACTTCTAGCAAAACCAGCAGTGAAAAATATTTTCCCCCCTTTTACGCTAACCCTGCCTGCCATTCCAAACAAAGCAAAAAAAAAGGAATTAATTTTCTAGTATGTTCAATAAACCCGTATTTATTGTCACAAAGGAGCCAGGGGCGGATGGATGAGGTTGAATTTTGAAATACGTTCACACGTGGGCAATTAGCCAATTGATCCCATGTTTTCATTCATGCTCCGTTGTTGTTTTTTTCCCCCCCTAACTAGAGCATTTACATAGCTAAGCCTCTTGTTCTTCAGGGGAAGATTATTAAGAACTGCTATTAAGGAATGTTTTTTCTTCGTAGAAAGGCATTTAGAAAAAAAAAAAGTTTAGCAGGCAAAAAAAAACAAAAATTCGATCCACACATTTACACCCACGCAGTGTACTTAGAAATTCTTATAATTCAGGCAGGAATTCCAAATTAGAAGCACAACGACAGTATTATATAGAATAAAATTCAGGTTTTTGCATTAAAAAGTTTCTCTTTCAATCACAAAGGGACTATCTTTGCCTCGTCCCTCTTTTCCTTGGGTGTAATTGTTGAGAAGACGGGAGGGCACGACAGGGGAAGCATCTGTTGTTGAAGCAGCAAATGAACCCCAATATATATATATATATATATATGTTATTTTTAGAGCGTTTATTTAATGGCTGTTTTCCTGCATTGGATTCTCCCAAGTCTTGAGCTCCATTTCAGGACTTTTGGCTAACTTGTTTCAAACATACCAAATTTGGCCAACATCCTGCGGAACAAAACATCTTTTTTTTTAATTAAAAAAAAAGTTATTTTTTATTTTTTTACACAAACAAACAAACACACAATGTGTTTTTTTCTGAAGAGAGTATTTGCCGGTTCACAAATTTAAACAGTTTTTAGTCATTTCAACTAAATTTACAATTTATATATTCCCTTTTTGCCATAATATTTTTTTCTCTCTATTTTTTTTAAACCGATATTACCCTTCATCCTAACCTCTAACCTTAACCAAATTAAATTTTTCCCTTCATCTCTACATTAAACCCCTAATTTAAAATCTCACAAATATAATTCCTAGCATTCCCTTATATTCCTTTAATATAATCACTAATGTTTTCCATTGTCAGCTGTTTCAATATCCAACATCTTAATACAAATCAATTAATTATGTGGTGTTACAATCATTCCTTTCATATAAAAATAGTAAACCCAATTGTTTTATACCAGGGGTCTCCAACCTTAAATACTCAAAGAGCCATTTGGACCCGTTTCCCACAGAAAAGAAAACACTGGGAGCCACAAAACCTGGGTGGGTGTGGCCAACTCGGTGTCACTCACTTCCACCAGTCACATGACACACACCCCTAGCCACGCCTACCCAGCCGGTCATCTGGTCTTCCAGTTTCTGGCATGCATGCGCATGGACAGATCTGCTGGCCAGAATGCATGCGTGTGCTGGAAACCAGAAGCTCAGCTTCCCGGCACACGCATATATGCATGCCAGAGAGCTGTTCTTCCGGTTTCCAGCGCTCCCTCGTGCACAAAGACCAGCGCGCCAGAACCCGGAATAGCAACAGGCGACGGCTGACATGCCCAGAGAGATGGCTCTGCGTGCCACTTCCAGCACATGTGCCATAGGTTCACCATCACTGTCCTCTACTATTTAGTCCGTGAGTGTTGTACCTTGTGATTGATGGTTGCATTTTATGATTGTGATCATGATTGATTCCTTGTTGCGTATACATACACTGAGGGCTTCTCCACTAGAGACAAATTTCTTGTGTGTCCAGTCATACTTGGCCAATAAAGAATTCTAGTGTATTTTATAATCCCCCACAACAATGACAGCTAACCTTTTTGCCACTGCGTGCCAAAAGCAGGGGGAATGCAGGGCGTTATTTGCGCGTGTGCCCACACCCATAATTCACTGCGCCCCATCCCTCCGATCTCCCCCCACTTTTGGCACGCGATGGCACGGTAGGCCCGTTTTTTGCCCTCCCCAGGCTCCAGAGGCTTTCTAGGAGCCTGGGGAGGGCAAAAATGGCCTTCCCCACCCTGCCGGAAGCCTTCCGGAGGCCAGAAACAGCCCATTTGCTGACTTCCGGTGAGACCAGAAGGCCCGTTTTTCGCTCTCCCCAGGCTCCAGAGCCTTTCTAGGAGCCTGGGGATGGCGAAAACAGTCTTCCCCACCCCCCTGGAGGCCCTCCAGAGGCCAGAAACAGCTGATTCCCAACTTCCGGTGGGCCCGGAAGACCTGAAAATCAGCTGGCCAGAGCGCACATGCGCGCTGGACCTGAGCTAGGGCAATGCTCGCGTGCCCACTGATATGGCTCCGCGTGTTTGCCATCACAGCCCTACAATTTCCAACCCCATTCTGAAAAAATCACCTTTTCCAAAAGTGCTGGACCCCAGTTATCATCCTCCATCTGGAGGTCAAGAGTTGTATTGAGATAATCTTGGGGTTTTACCTGTTTTGGCCAGGTGAGCTGATATTTTGTCATTTCTGTGCTTTCAGTTAACTGCCTGCGTCCACGGCTCGGCCTCCTTGCTTTACCCAATGTTTTGGCAACACGTTTACATCCCGGTCCTCCCTCCTCATCTCTTGGACTACTGCTGGTAAGCATATGTGCCTTTTCTTAGGGATCTTTCCGATCTTTCTTAGGGGTTGAAATGATTTCAAGACCCGCGTAAGTTTTCTGAAAGGTCTTCTATTGTTGTGGCCCGTCAGCGGCCTGTGCAGATTGTAGCTGATTCTGACAACGAGGAGGCTGGTGTGGTGTTGCTCCAGCAGCCTGTGCAGCTGGCACTCGAGTCAGACAGTGAGGAGGCTGGAGAAGATGTGGTGCCAGAGGTGGGGATTCAGCCAGGGCCTTCAGAACCTCCAGAGGCTCCTTCAAGTGAAGAGGAAGAAGAGGAGGAGCCTCTTCTCAATGCACAGGCACGCAGAGCTGCCAAAAGGCAGGAGTGGCTCCTCAGGAGGAGGTCTCCTCGAGAGTAAGGCTTGGGGCTAATTGGCCACTCCTTTAGCCTATTTAAGGAGGAACACCGACTGAAGCAATTTGCAGGGAACAACTTTGTTCACATACCTTTGTGTCTTGTCTTGCTTATCAGCTTCCTGCAAATTGCTTCTGGGCATTCTGCCAACCACAATAAAGCGAGAAATATTCTCCTTTATTGGTATCAGGTGGATCTTTTGAACCCTGGTCTTTCTTTTCCCTTGGAAAGTTTTTGGAAGAAAAGAACAGCTTTGTGGAACTGGACCAAAATGTCCATTTTCCCAAATCCTTGCCTCTCAGCCAGGAGGATAAATAAAGGAATATATAACAGAAATATCCAATCCCTGGACATTGGTGTGTGTCCATTGTTACAGCTTGATAGCCGTTCTCCTTCTAGATCTTTCAGGTCTCCAACCAGGGGTGAAATCCAGCAGGTTCTGACAGGTTCTGGAGAACCGGTAGCGGAAATTTTGAGTAGTTCGGACAACCGGCAAATACCACTTCTGGCTGGCCCCAGAGTGGGGTGGGAATGGGGATTTTGCAATATCCTTCCCCTGGAGTGGGGAGGGAATGGAGATTTTGCAATATTTTAATTTTTAATCATTGTTGTGTCCTATGTTTTTAAATTGGCTGTACACCGCCCTGAGTCCTTCGGGAGAAGGGCGGTATAGAAATAAAATTATTATTATTATTATTATTATTATTATTATTATTATTATTATTATTATTAATATCCTTCCCCTGGAGTGGGGTGGGAATGGGGATTTTGCAATATCCTTCCCCTGGCGTGGGGAGGGAATGGAAATTTTGCAGTATCCTTCCCCTGGAGTGGGGTGGGAATGGGGATTTTGCAGTATCCTTCCCCTGGAGTGGGGTGGGAATGGAGATTTTGCAGTATCCCTCCCCTGGAGTGCGGTGGGAATGGGGATTTTGCAGTATCCTTCCCCTGAAGTGGGGACGGAATGGGGATTTTGCAGTATCCTTCCCCTGGAGTGGGGAGGGAATGGGGATTTTGCAGTATCCTTCCCCTAGAGTGGGGTGGGAATGGAGATTTTGCCGTATCCTTCCCCTGGAGTGGGGACGGAATGGGGATTTTGCAGTATCCTTCTCCTGGAGTGGGGTGGGAATGGAGATTTTGCCGTATCCTTCCCCTGGAGTGGGGACAGAATGGGGATTTTGCAGTATCCTTCCCCTGGAGTGGGGAGGGAATGGGGATTTCGCAGTATCCTTCCCCTAGAGTGGGGTGGGAATGGAGATTTTGCCGTATCCTTCCCCTGGAGTGGGGTGGGAATGGGGATTTTGCAGTATCCTTCCCCTGGAGTGGGGTGGGAATGGAGATTTTGCATTATCCTTCTCCTGGAGTGGGGTGGAAATGGAGATATTGCAGTATCCTTCCCCTGCCACGCCCACCAAGCCACACCACGTCCACCAAGCCACACCCACCGAACCGGTAGTAAAAAAAAATTGAATTCCACCACTGTCTCCAACTAATATCTGTTGGCTGGAGACTCTGGAAGCTGAAGTTCAACACAACCGGACATCTGAAGTTGGCATGCATATGATGCCTTGTTGTCCAAAGATGCAGGTCCTCCCTTTCCTTCAGGAGCTCAAAGTGGCACCGATTGTTTTCCTTTCCCCCATTTTTGTGCACAGAATTCAGTGAGGTAGGCTTGGCGAGGAAGAAGCAGAATAACAGAGCCGGAAAAGGGACCTTGGAGGTCTTCTAGTCCAACCCCCCGATCAAGCAGGAGGCCCTATCCCATTTCAGATAAGGGATTGTCCACTCTCTTCTTAAAACCCTCCATTGTTGGAGTAACCACAACTTCAGAAGACAATCCATTCCACTAGTTAATTGTTCTCACCGTTAGGAAATTCCACCTTAGTTCTAAGCTGCTTCCATCCACTGCTGCTTGTCCTGCTTTCGGGCACTTTGGAAAATAGTTTGATCCCCTCGTCTTTGTAGGAGCCCCTCAAATATTGGAAGATTACTATTGTGTCTCCATTAGTTCTTCTTTTGTTGTTGTTGTTAGTTGCGAAGTCGTGTCCGATCCATCGTGAACCCATGGACAACGTTCCTCCAGGCCTTCCTGTCCTCTACCATCCTCTAGAATCCATTTAAGCTCACACCGACTGCTTCAGTGACTCCATCCAGCCACCTCCTTCTCTGCCGTCCCCTTCTTCTTCTTTTGCCCTCCATCGTTCCCAGCATTAGGTTCTTCTCCAGGGAGTCCTTCCTTCTCATTAGGTGGCCAAAGGATTTGAGTTTCCTCTTCAGGATCTGGCCTTCTAAAGAGCAGTCAGGGTTGATCTCCTATAAGACTGATCAGTTGGATCACCTTGCAGTCCAAAGGACTCGCAGAAGTCCCTTGGATCTATCTATCTATCTATCTATCTATCTATCTATCTATCTATCTATCTATCTATCTATCTATCTATCATATATCTATTGTTGTTGTTAGTTGTGAAGTTGTGTCCATCCCATTGTGACCCCATGGACAACGTTTCTCCAGGCCTTCCTGTCCTCTACCATCCTCTGGAGTCCATTGAAGCTCACGCCGACTGCTTCAGTGACTCCATCCAGCCACCTCGTTCTCTGCCGTCCCCTTCTTCTTTTGCCCTCCATCGTTCCCAGCATTAGGCTCTTCTCCAGGGAGTCCTTCCTTCTCCTTAGGTGGCCAAAGGATTTGAGTTTCCTCTTCAGGATCTGGCCTTCTAAAGAGCAGTCGAGGTGGATTTCCTCTAGGACTGACCGGTTGGATGGCCTTGCAGTCCAAGGGACTCGCAGGAGTCTTCTCTAACACCAGAGTTCAGAGGCCTCCATTCTGTGGCCCTCAACCTTCCTTATGGTCCAACATTCACAGCCAGACATTGCAGCTGGGAAAACCATCGCCTGGACTATACGCCCTTTTGTTGGCAGGGTGATGTCTCTGCTTTTTAGTACGCTGTCTAGCTTTGCCATGGCTTTCCTCCCCAGGAGCAAGCGTCTTTTCATTTCTTGGCTGCAATCCCCGTCTGCGGTGATCTTGGAGCCCAGGAAGATGAAATCTGTCACTGCCTCCATTTCTTCCCCATCTATTTTCCAGGAATTGAGAGGGCTGGGTGCCATGATCTTAGTTTTCTTAAAACATACCCAATTCCTACAACCGTTCTTCGTATGTTTGAGCCTCCAGGCCCCTAATCATCTTAGCTGCTCTTCTCTGCACTCTTTCCAGAATCTCAACACCATTTTTCTTTAAAAAAATAATGTCGAGACTCTGGAAAGAGTGCAGAAAAGAGCAGCGTAAGGCTGGTCTTCTGTAGTTGAGGGTAAAGCTGGTCTAATGCCTTCACCACATCTCACTAAATGCTCCTTCCTTGTGCCCCCACCACCTGGTCAGACATTATGGCACGAAAGGGGGGGGGGCTGAAGATTTCAACATCTCGGGGGGGGAATCCTTGGGGAGGATGGAGGCTGCCAAGGGGGACCCCCTTCTTCTCCGAGAACACCTCGCCGTTTTCCTCTTCAAAGTGGCTTCCATTCGTTATCGCCCAAGACCGGGGAAAGTGGCATCTCGTCGGGTAGCTAATCCATTCGCCGGCTTTTGAATTTAAAAAAAAAAAGTGGGGGGGGAGAACTGGCACATAGGGTGGTGGGTGGTGGATGAGAACGGATCTCCAGGGCCTTCCAACACGAGGAAGCAGCAAGCATCTAACTAGCGTTGGAAGTGAAGTGCCTGGACTTGCTGGAAGCATGTAAATTTCAAGGCGTTTTGTTCGGGCGGAAGATGATTTAAAGGCTAAGTACCTTCTCTCGGTTGGAGAGATCAGGAGGGGAAGAGAGAGAGAGAGAGAAAGAAAGAAAGAAAGAAAGAAAGAAAGCATCTCGGCTCTGCCGGCAGGAAAGGCAGATTCCCAGTCATTTGCGAGACCAGCGTGGGATTTTCCTGGCCTAATGGGATGTGGTTGTGCAGTCATAATTAACGCAAGGAGGAGAAGGAGCTCCCCGATCGCTGGAGTCTTCAGGTCTTCAAGGCCTAGGAGCTGCTGGGTCGAGGCTCTGCCACACGGAGGGGGCTTTGAAGACAGAGACGGCACATCAGAAGACACCGGTCCCATGTTTTTGGCATGGAGAGAGACTCTCCCACGGATTTATTTCGTTTGCAAGTAGCTCTCCACTTACAACAGTTCATTAAGCTTGCTTTAAAAAAAAAAAAGTAGAATGGAGCTGGAAGGGACCTTGGAGGTCTTCTAGTCCAGCCCCCTGCTCAACCAGGAGAAACTATACCATTTCAGGAAGAAAGGAAGGAAGGAAGGAAGGAAGGAAGGAGAAGGGACGAAGGGAAGAAGGGAAGAAGGAAAGAAAGAAGTAGGAAGGGCAAGAGAGAGAAAGGAAGGAAGGAAGAAAGAAAGAGAAAGAAAAGAAAGGAAGGAAGGAAGGAAGAAAGAAAGAAAAAGAAAGGAAAAGAAGTAGGGAGGGCAAGAGAGAGAGAGGGAAGGAAGGAAGGAAGGGAGGGAGGGAGGAAAGAAGGAAAGAAAGAAGTAGGGAGGGTAAGAGAGACAAAGGAAGGAGAAAGAAAGAAAAGAAAGAAAAAGAAAGAAAGAAAAAAAAAGAAGTAGGGAGGGCAAGAGAGAGAGAGAGGA